TGAAAACATTTCAAAAGGGAAACAGACGGAAGTAAATTTAGGCTGTCGCCCTGTGGCACGGGAATGTTGCTGACATCTCTTTATTGGCACGCGGGGTTAGGTGGGTTATTTAAAAGAACACAAAGAGGAAAAGTCAGAACGAGGTGCTGCATTAATTGACATTTCTCTCCGCACTCGGCGCCTTCCCTCTGTGAATTCGAAAAACCTCATCAAAAGTTTTCAAAAGCACTCCAATTACTGTATCTGCTCTCGTCTCGTTACCGACAGAGACTATTTTTACACTTTCTCATCCGGCTGCTTTTCATCTTGATTGCGGCAACAAGCAGCTGCGGGAATGCGAAATCAGGCCGTGATTGCGCCGCGCAGATAAAATTCACTTGGCACCTTTTCTCTCTGTGCGAAATTATCCGCGCCGAAAACTCTTGCGGCGGCGACGGGGACAAAAAGCGAAATGAGATTACGGACGGGCTGGACAAAGAAGAAAGAGAGAGATGGACCAAAGGCCAGTCGGAAAGTAATATAGCGGTCTCGAAATTAAGGTCCGCAAAGATCTTCAGGGACCGCCTTTTAATAAAATCCTCTGACAAAAGTGACGCCGCCACTTTCAAAAGCTTTTCCTCCTTTTTTATTGAAAATGACGACGCGAAATCTTATCTGACACGCGCAACTCCTTTAATACATTATTAGAGGCGAGATTTAATTTTTGGATAGCACCCCAGAAATCAGCTCTTCCTTTTGACTCTTTTTATTTTCGGCGACGAAAGCAATTTTCCGAATTATATTTTCCTTTTCATTCTCCTTTCAGAGGCGCTTTTTATTCCTTTCTTTCTTCTCCCTATCTTGTGAGGTTTTGTTTGTTTTGTCTGAGACGCGCAGCCGCGAATATCAGAGGATAATTTGAATTTGCTGCCAAAGAAAACACCACCGTGTCTCTATTATTCTTAGGCGCCTCCTTTGCCGCGTATTGTGTGCAAAGTTTTTAGATAAACAACATTAACAGCTCCCAAAGGCTTAATAAAAATGAAGTTCTGCGCGCCTATACAAAAAGTTGCGAAAACGCCCGGGGTGCAAAAATGCAAATCATTGACTGTGGAATTTTTGCCTCGAAGGCGTTCAGACGTCAAACTTTAGCGCCTCTCCCCGTCGAAGAATTTTTGAGAAAATTATTAGCCTCATTTTAAATGGAGAGCAATTTTCAACATGAAAATTATAAATTTTAATTCAGCAAACATATTAGTTGACTTATTTTTTATGCAATTGGATAGAAAATAATTTTCATTAGATATTTTTCTTGCTATTTGATTTGACTCGTTGATGAAATATTAAATACGCAAATGGTGTTTTGAAGCTTTCTATTAATTTGTTTTAAGCTCTTCCATTTAAAGTTTAATTTTTAATGCGACATCAAAGTAAAATATTTGCACGCAAAACAAACAAGATTATTCAAATATTCAACTTTTACAATTGTCCAAACTAATGTAAATTGAAGTTTTCAATGAGTATAATATGAAAATAGGTGAAAAGTTATATAGAAAATCAGAATTTCACGATTCAACGTTGCATTTTATGAGTGACGAGACTCATTGCGGATCTTGCAATATTTTCCAAAAATTCAATGTCCTCCAATTTATTGAAATATAATGCAATGGTTTAAAGAAGTCAATTAATTTAATTAATTTGATCAGTTTAAAAAAGAACTGATAATTTGAACTAATTTAAATTTAAACTTCAAAAACAGATTAAAATAATTCAATCTGCTGAATATTGCCTAAAATCAATTAAAATTTGCTAATGATTTATCAATTAGTCCATTAAAATATAGTTTTCCTCTTAAACTGAATGCCCAATTCCACATTAAATTATACATGCCTTTTTGGGTGCAGGGATTTCGTTGGAATTTATTTTTGCTCTCCGTCTCATGTGTGTTTATGTTTTCAGCGAAGCAAGATGGAGTTTGATTTAAAACTTATCTCCAAACAAACAAGCTTTTTCCTATATGAGCGCGGGGAATGAAAGGAGTTTATTTCCTCAAACTGCGAGAGTACCTTTTATCCTCACTCGGGCTGACGTTCATCCCTACGCAAATATTGACATTTGATTATTTTGTATGCACAGCTAAGCGTCTATTTTTTTTTTTTTTTTAGGTTTACCGTCAACTGCGTGAGGATAATAATTCCTTCTATATATTGAACGAGCTAACGCGCCGGAATAGCCAATTTCAGCCGGCCGATCGCCGTCAAATATTAATGGCCTGTCAATATATCATCAATATTTATAATGGCCCTGCACCAGTCATTGCAAGAATGCTCGTGAATACTCAATCATCGCCGGTAATAACGGCCCTGTATGCAAACGCGCGGCCACAAAGCAACAGATAAATAGCCGGGTGAGATCGAATGGGGGGTTTTCTCGATTCTGTACCCTTTCGAGGGTAATGCGGTGCATCGGATAAATCATATGGGTGTGGGCGGCTCCCCCCGATACACCTCGCTCCGTCTATTGATAGAATAAAATTGGCCCCGGGGGATTTTCTGTTATTAGCTGCCGGCCGAGGCGGGCCTTTATTGTTTTTCCGCTGGATTATCGCTTTTCGCGTTTATTGCCAAAAACGTCAGCCCGCCGAGAGCATCTGTTTTCTCTGCTGGATAAATATAATCCTCATCCCCAATCTAGAATGCAATCATTTCTCAAGGATTTTGATTAAAAGAAAAATGTGAGCTCAAGAATTAAAAACACTTGTTCCTAAATCTAACTCTTTGATGGAAAGTAATTTTTTTATAAAGTTTCATACAAAATTAAGATGCAGAAGCATGTGAACTTGAAATGCAAAAAATTATTTAAAAATAGTGAACAGATGTGTTTATTATTTCTCATTTTTTAGAGAGTGAATGAATTGGTTATTTTTTTTTTACACTTGACATTAAAAATAATTTTTTGATTCAGCTGCTTTGGTATCTTCAATGAATTTTCAACTTTATTATAGTGCAAGTGATGAATTTTTTCCCTTCAACTCTTTGTGTGTGTAAATAATTTATTAAAAAAAGCGATATTTTTGTGAGGTGTCATTTTTTTAATTTTGCGAATATAATCAAACAAGTTTTTTGCAGTGAAAATTTCGCCCGAAATTCAGCTGCAAACTTCCAAATTTCATTAAGCACGCACGCACATCTATGATATTCAATTACGGTCGACTCCCTCTGGAGTTTCACAAAAGCACACACAGAAAAAAGCTAGAAGAGCGAATGGATGAGCGCAACGAAATGACGTGCACATTTTGGTCCAAAATATAAAACATAGTGCTGTGTCCGTGTGGGCGTGCGGCCTTGTAGTCTAAGCGTCACTCATTCGTCACCGCCCTATTGTGGAATATTAATGAGCTTCCATTTTTCAAAGTGCTTTTAATTAAAACACTCCTCTAAATTGTGGATACAAAACTTTGTAATTGATAAGAACAAGGAAAATTATATACACTTTATAAATAAATTCGGAAATTATTTAAATTGTAACGCACTTGAAAACCCAATTCTTGGAAATTAAAATGCAGATTAAACTAGAATTATTTGAACCATGCCAATGATTTTTTTTGGTAAAAAAAATGAACTTTCTAAGTTCGATTTAGTATTTTTCCACTTTACAAGCATTTTCTAAGAAAGGGACTTTTTTTAAAACAAAAAGGAAGAAATTCTAGCGAATTAAATATAATGTAAATTTTTGTAGAAACGATATTTCAAAACTTGCAACAGACTCTCCTCGTTCTACAGAAGCTCAATTTCGTCACTCAACCGGCACGGCACAGACTTTGCGGAAAAACTGTAATTAAGAAAGTGGCGCAATATTGCCAAATTAAAATAGCTCTCATCAGCTCTGTTACTCGCAATTAGAGGCTTAAATATAAATTTTCATAATTCTGCTTAAAATAAAGATTGTACGGAACCTACCGGTAATAATTGTAAATTTATTGTTAATAAAAAGAAGATAAAAAAAGCTCAAATATGACCAAAAATCTATCAATAATCGTTAAGAAACGATGTTTTGGTAGAATTATAAATTTCTAGTTAAAGGCACTGTTGGTTATTTATTAATTAATCCATAATTTTTATAGAAAAATTACCAAAACTTTAGGGGAATAAAAAAAGCAATTGCATTAATGATTGCAATAAAAAAAGAACCAGAGTAACTTCCAGACTCATCAAACTTTCCTATAATAAATGATTTAAAAAAAGGGCTGGGGAAAAACAAATTCTCTTGAATTTTTGCTTCCGTGGATAGCAATATCAAGCAGTGAAAGATTTACATCAATATATAGCCAAAACTGTTCTCTATTAAAATTAATTTTGAGTAGGAACTTCTAAAAGCTTTTTCATTACTTGGCCGAAATTGAGGTTGTGTAATTTAATTTCGCTGACAGCGGCAGAGTGGCGGCCGAAAAAATCTCAAACGAAGAAAAACTGCAGCGTTTTGGGGGGTGCAAGGAGGCTTGGTGGAATATTCATCAGCTCTTCACTCGTGCAGACTTGAATAACCAAAAGCCACCAGGGACGCTTCGTTCTCTGCAAAAATGAGCCTTCATTTCACGGTTCGATTGGCCGCGAGCCGATTCCCATTCGAACGCGCAGATTCGAAACCGCGAGAGAGCGATTTCCGCACCCCCAACTTAATTGCATTAGAAAACAAACACGCGCCTTTTGTGCGAATTATGCCGGCAGCCAATTTTTCGACCGGCGATTGCCAAACCGGCCGGAAAATCGATCCAAGCGAGTCAAATCGCTCGGATTTGCCGGTTGTGCATACCGGAATTTGGAAATCGGCCCCGACGACGCACTCTGCTGGGCACAAACCGCCCGAAATTAATATTATGTATTCACCGGGGCAAATGCACGTTCAGAGTCCATAACAAGTGACACTCAGTGAACTGTGCGTTTTGGGGGATGCGATTGCAACGCTTTCGCGATTCACTGCATTTTTGGAAGTTATTCAAGTTTTGTCAATTTTGTTTCCAGATCTCTCATCCCTGTGTGGCTGGAAGAGAAAAGGTAAGAAGATTTTTATTGATATTGAAATTTTTGCTTTGAACTTCACAATACGAGCACAAAATTTAGAGCATAAATAATTTAGTAATGTAATAAGTGCGTCATTATAAATCCCAAGTAATTGATCTGAGGAAAATTTACTAGTGTTTTGCAGAGAAAGAAGATTTCAATGAGTCGGATTGAACTTTTTACAGTTTGTTTGTATTTTTAAAATAAAAAAATATTTTATTTAATAGCACATTATTTAAAATTTTAACGTTTATTCACAATAAACATTTAAAACATATTAACAATAATAATATTTTGTTAACATTATCAATTCATAACTCATAACATAACATTCTATGTGGACAAAGCTACTTTTTTGAATAATGTCTGTTTAATTCTAGAAAAAATTATATATTTATAAATTACTGGATAGCAAAATTTTGTGTATCATGGACTTAAATGTTAATGAAAGAATATCTTGCCCTTCTTAATGCTATTATTAAAAATTCCATAAAAATAATATATCAAAAATCCCAAATTCTTAAATTCTGTTGTAAGTAAATGAAATTTACGACATATTCAGTTTACATTTTGTTGTTTTCAAATTATATCTCTGACAAATGGCAATTTAACTCCAAATTTATATTTTTTCTTACAATCTAGTCAAAAGCGGAACGGGACGCAATTAAAAAAAAATTAAAAACGAATTTTTCCAGCCAATTTCGTAATTGTTCTTGCAGTTCTGGGAATTTTAATTAACCGATACGCGCCGGAAATTAAAATCAAAGTGATCAAATCATTTTTAAGAGAATTCTCGTCAGTGGGACATTTTATTTTGCCATGAACGATTGCATAATATCGATTTGGATAAAGAAGCAGTTAAGTTAAAATATTTCAAATTTTGGGTTTCTGGGTTTTGGGTAAATAGTCTCTGAAAGTAAAATTAAAAAAGTCCTTTTTGTGTAAAATAAGCTTTTAGTCCGGCATATTTTGACTCTAAACGAAACAAATTGCACTTGATACATTATGGACCTAATTATACATACAAGTAAAATGCCCTGAAAAATAACATACTAAATTTATTAACTAATTTTAATCAAATTTATCATTATTAGTAGATTCAATCAATTTCAATTTAGTGTGAAGTAAATACGCTTCATAACTTATATTAACTCATCTTCATCGCTCCGTCAAATCCCCGTCATATAACTTCAGGCCGAAAAATTGCCCAGGGCCTGGTAATCCGTTTGATGACACTGCGCGCGATTCAGTTTTCGCCTAAGATACGCAACACAATGGAGGAATAAAAGTTTTGTGGAGAGGAAGAATAAGTGGAGTTGTGCGAGCGCTTCATTAATTGAATTGTGCTGGTCGGCGGCGCTCAAAGAAAGAAAGAACCAACGTTTTGGCGCAGAGTTTGCAGTCTTCTTGATAATCATTTCAAATAATAACTCTTCTCCATTCTTTCATTGTCTCCCAATTAAAACTTTTTCGCTCATTTTTATGCACACACAAAAATCCGCGGTTAATTTGGTGGAAAATTCGCGCACCGCGATTTTACTATCGCGTGCGGAAATCTTTTCATCCGGCCAGCCGAGGCGCGCTATAAAATAGAGACATAAACCGACTGCGAAATTAAGCAGGCAAGCAAGCACCGTGTGGAGCAAAGGGCATTTTGTTTGCCTCCCGGGCCCGATATTCGCCTCCGAAATATAAAATCTGCTAAATTTTGAGGGCGCATAAAGCTGGGCGACGTCATCGCGATGCGGCGCCTAGATTACGGCTGCGCCAATTGTCTCTATACACACACATACTGGCACGTGCGCCGCGTACAGATAATGCATGTAAACGCACACTAGACACCTCAGACACCAAACTGTTTTCCCATTGAATGAATATATTAACTGCTAATTATTTATTTGAAATTTATTAAAATTAAATTTTAAAAGTTTATTCCCAGCTCCAGATCTTCAAATGATGTGAATTAAAAACTCCATCGTGACATTTTGATACTTTTTTTTTAACGAAGATATATTTTAATGCGCAGTTTTTTTTCATTGAAATTAAGCATGTGAGTTTTATAAGTTGCTTTTACTAAGACTGGCCGTCGATTCTCTCTAAATAAGGCTTTTTTCAAATAACCTTCATTACCTCTTGTGAAAGAATTAACTGATTAAATAGAACTGAAATTTAGAAGCTTAAAAATGATCAAAATCTGAATGACAATGTTTGGATATTAATTTCAAAAACCTTATAAGGTTATCAAAATAGGAGGAGAAAAAACTGATTTTTTTTTGTATTAGTTAATTATTAAAAAGCTCTTGCAATCGATTATTTTGGGCACAAAAGTCTACAATTTTCAAACAAAATTAAAGATATTTACAGTCCTTATTGATTTTTTTTCTCCCAAAATGAGTCATTTTTGCCAGTTATATATAAAAAATTTGCAAAGATCTGTACATTAAAATTTTATTTCAGCCACATTTTTCAAGCTTTAAATTTTCAAGGCAACATTTTCACTCAATACCAATGGAATTGAATTGCAAACATCTTCTTGAAGCTAAACCTGCATTAAAAATATCATATCACCACATGAAAATGTTTTTAGACTCAGGATGTGTCAGGATATTTCAAAAATTCCAACAAGAGTAATTTTTTTAAATTATCAGCAGTGCCTGGTTGGACAAAATTTGCAAATTTTGTCACCAATTTCACTTATTTTAAAAAGTCCATTTGACAATCATAAAAATGACACCATTTCTGTGTCAAATCCTCCCCCACCTCATATTCAACTTTTTTTATAAAAGAAAAACAGTTACGAGCCGAGAGAGCTCAGAGACAAATACGGAACAATTTATTCCTGTTGGCACTCTTTGGTGCCATTAAGAAAGAAAAGCGGCTTTGCGAATGAACGGGCGGGGGCGGCGCAGGGCTCTGCGGATGCAGGCGAATAAGTTTGGCTGCACTAACGAGCAAAGACACCCGCTGCGTTCCCCGGCAGCATCCAGGTTATTAAAGCGTATGGAAAGTAAAGTGTGTGCGTGGCGATGATTATTTTAATGACGCCGGTGATACATAGTGCGTGGTGAATAATTAATTATTGCAGTCGAGCCGCGCTGAATTATGAACGAGAGGGAGATGCTCTGGCTATGGCTGGAGCGGCTTTGAAGTTGTTGCCAGAGATCGTCCCCCCCTCCTTTAGCCGGCCCTTAATTTAGCTAATTAATCCACTTGTAGCAACTGCACTCGGACTGAATGGTGCATTCGTTGTTTGCTCTTTGTCTACGCTGACGAGATTGATTCGATTAGAATGCACCGTTTGCTTTTCGCTAATCACTTCATGAGGTTTCTGCTGATCTAGCTTAAGCTCAAAAGTGAGATACTGGGTTTGGTTTAAATTGAAGTTTTATTTTATTATAATTGTATAGACTAAGAATTTGATCAGTAATTAAGAATTATTATTATATTGATTTTTTGTCCGAATTGTTACATCACGTTGAAATTTTCTAGAAATCAGTAACGCAAAATTTTAAATCGTTTAATCAAGTAAGACAAGAATTGTACAATTTACATTAAGAAAAAATTGCTACTGTTTGGCAAACAATATTAAAATAAAAAGAAAATTTACAATATATTTTTATTAAAAACGCAGCTGCTTATATAAAAAGAGATTTTTCTATTTAAATATTAAAATTTAATAAATATACAATTTTTATTAATATTTTTTAGCATTGCACAACAAATTTTGGTTTTTAGGTCAAAGCATTGGTGTAAAAACCTTTCTTATTTATAAATTATACTGCGTAAACAATAAAAATATGTCTCATGACATGTCTCATGCTTCAGTATCATAAAAGATTGATAAATCAACTTCGTTAACGGGGAACATTTTTGAGAAATTTTGAATTAGTGAATAATGTGATTAAGAAATTAATGTGTATACAAAAATTATACAACGTGCAGATAATTATGAAATTATAAATTTAATAATTTGCATTTTCCGAGAAAAAGTCTTTAAAATATGTTTACCTCTCCAGCCTTGAGCCCTTCGAAAGCTTGAAGCTGCAAAAAGGAAATTTAACTCTTTATTACTTGACTACCGTATTTTTTAAAGCTTGTGAAAATAAAATATCCAAATTTAGTTTGCTCTCACAATTTTTTTTTCAAATTTATGATGCTTGCGCTGGGTGTTTGTTTGTATTTTTATGCAAACTTTGTTGTTTTAGGGAAAATCAAATTTGCCGATTATGAGATCGCCAACTGCTGATATTCGGATGAGCAAAATTGATCGCGAGCTGTTTACGTTCGCCGACCGGCAATAACTCTGATCGAAACCGGTTAAGCCACGGTCCATTATTATTTCGGGTCAGGCGCCGTAAATTTTCGTGTCCACGCACAGAAAGCTGTTTCATCATGTATTGCCGAATTAATTACCACACATAATTTGCATCAAGCTGGAGGCGATTTTACGCAAATCATCCTAGTTTTTAATTTACCCACGCATGATCGTTTGCGTAAAAATTGAATTTCAAGTTGTCCCTTTTTAGGACATAAGGTATCTCACGAAATAAAATTTTTTTTCTTATTAAAAACAGTGCAATTTAGTTTCCGTCCATTTCTCTTAATTAGCTTTACTTGAATTCACAATTAAATAATATAATTCAAAATTCACAACTGAAATACTGAAAAAGATCCTTTAATGAACTCGTTTCATCCCTTACAAGTTCAAAATTTTTCATTGCGGTTTAGTATTTTACTAAATTTTGTCGTATTTATTCGAATTCAAGAATAAAAAAGACTAAAGTGGAGTCTTCACGAGCTGATAAAATATAGCGAGGAATAGTTTGCAGGATTCTTGTACTTAACCGTTATTTATTGTTCCTACCTGCATCTATTTCATTTTTAATGAAACAAACACGTTGTTAAGATCAGAAATTCGCCACTACTAGGCCTTCTCAGGGAGAATTTGCTTCTCCAACTTGAGGGTCGGAGTTGCAGCCGCAGCAATAAAACAC